CGCACCCCCACACACACACACACACACACACACACACACACACGCACACACACCTACACTTGAATAATCGTATAAACAAATAAATTTAACAACCTATTTTGACGTAAAATGTTAATAAGATTATTGTATGGTATGTTTATTTTTGTAGATTAGATTTGACATTTAACAAACATATTTATAACTTAGTACATATTATATAGCAAAGACATACAGTTAGTGACACTGAAAAAATTATACATGGGAAACACTGAAGAAATCAGGTACAAATAAAGGAATTTCCAAAGGCATCACTATCCCTGACTTGAGCCATAATCCTGAAAACAGCTTGGTATTGGCACAAAAATAGACAGGTTGACTAATGGAATCTAACTGAAAGCCCTGATATTAACCCATATACCTACGAACACCTGATTTTTGACAAAGAAGCTATATTTATACAATGGAAAAAAGAAAGGATCTTCAACAGTTATGTTGGCATAACTGGATTCAGACATGTAGAAGATTGCAGATAGATCCATATCTATCACCGTGCACAAAACTTGAGACCAAATGGATCAAAGACCTCAACATAAATTCAGCCACACTGAACCTCCTAGAAGAGAAGGTAGGTGGTACCCTCAAACAAATTGGTACAGGAGACCGATTTCTGAATATAACATCAGTAGCATAAACATTGAGATTGACAATTAATAAATGGGACCTCCTGAAACTGAGAAGCTTCTGTAAGGCAAAGAACACAGTCAGCAAGACAAAACACAAGCCCACAGGAGGGGGAAAGATATTCACCAACCCCCATATCTGACAGAGGTCTGATCACCAAAATATACAAAGATCTCAAGAAGCTAGTCACCAAAACAACAAACAATGCAATTAAAAAGTGGACCAGATTGCAGACCAGATACAGCAAGGAGGACCTAGGCCCTTCCCCAAATGATATGACAGACTTTGAAGGTCCCCTGTGGAGGGCCTCACTATCCCTGGGGAGGAGGTGGGGGGATGGGTTGGGGGGATTGTAGGGGAACATGGGAGGATGGGAGGGCAAGGGAATGGGGAGTGGATATGTAAATATGAGTAGTAATTAAAGAATTTAAATTTAAAACAGAATAAAAAATAATATTCTACAACAAAAAAGAAAGAAAGGGAAGGAAGGAAGGAAGGAAGGAAGGAAGGAAGGAAGGAGGGAGGGAGGGAGGGAGGGAGGGAGGGAGGGAGGGAGGGAACGGAGGCAAGAAAGAAAGAAAGAAAGAAATCAAGTACAATCAACCTCTAACCTAAATCTCAAGGATCACATGGATACATTTCAGTCAACCACAAAGAAACCAGCAAAATATCTCTACAAATCCATCTTCAGTCCAGAGTTGTTTTTTACGTTGGATTGGTGAAGAAGAGGGAGCTGGGAGAGTTGATAAGGGACATATGTATGTGTGTGGCATACATTCACATGCATATTCAAGCTAATGTATGTGGCTTCATGTTTACAGGTGATCCTACTTGTATGTATACATGTATGGACACACCAAAGGTTGCCATTAAGGGTCTTCCTACATTGTTGTACATTTACTTCCTAAAGCAGTCTCTTACTCAACTTGGAGCTAGCCCACTCAACTTATCTAGCTAGCCAGGCAATCTAGGGAAGCTCCTGTCTCTGTTTACTGAGCACTGGGTTATAGCCAAGCCATCCTGCTTGTCTGGTGTTTATATAAGCCTTGGGGATCTGAAGTTCAGTCTTTATGCTTTCATGAAAGCACTTTGTTCACTTGAGCCATCATCCCAGACTATTTACAGAATTCGTAAATGGGATTGAACATATAATTACATGGTCCCCTGTGGCTCATATTCTAGTTTAGACAATAGGGACATATCAAAAAAGTCATTATATTTACATTAAATGTTTAAAATAGCTACATATGGTCTTGTGAACTTTCCTATTCTATTCATTACTAATTTGTTTCTGTCTTGGAGGTACAAAATAGCATCATTGAGCAGTAACTAAACAGACATTCTAAAAGGTCAATTGTTAGTTACTGCTCTGACCTTGAAATTTGTCAAATGCAAACAAGAACTTAGTAAAAATAATTGCATTGTCACAGTCTTCCAATATGAACTAAGAGCTTCAAGCTCTCCTATTTCCTAAATCATACCTCAGTGACACAGGCAGAAGATGGCTTTGACTTTGAGTGGCTGGAATCAGGCTCTTTTGTTACACTAATAGTCTTTAGGGCAGAGCAGTGGAGACCAAAGGCTGTCCATATGATGAGCTACTTCATCTGCCCATGCCCACTCCTGAAATAGCATACTGACTGGTGTATCTTATCATGCTTTGTGATGGTTTGCAGGGCTCACAGATTTTCAGGGCTCACTTGGTGAAAAGTACTGTCTTCCAACATCACAAACTACCCCAGGTCTTAAAATAAATACTTTCACAATGATATTCTCACTTCCGTTATTTGTATTTGCTCCTCTAAAGGATCTTAGATTTCTTCATTTTGTGTTATAACTGTTACATAATAAAATGACTACAATTTCCTTTTCTCATGTGGCATTTAGGGAGAAATTGGTAAGGAAATGTACATCATCAAGCATGGAGAAGTCCAAGTTCTTGGAGGCCCTGATGGTGCTCAAGTTCTGATTACTCTGAAAGCTGGGGCAGTGTTTGGAGAAATCAGGTATTTACCTTTAAATGTCTAAGCCCATCATTTGTCATAAAAGGACAATCTTAAAGTATAAAATATGTAAATTTTACTTAAGTTTATGAAATGTCTGATATTCTGCTGAAAGTGTTGGAAAATCGAGTGTGTTCCCATTTCTTTCATTTTTTAAAATCCGTGCTCTCAAAAAGAACAGAAAAAAAAAAAAAGGGAGCAGGTTATATTCTTCAGTTCTAGAACCTAGGTCAGTGCCTAGATTGCAAATGATACTCAACTGATGTTGAATTAACATCCAGTAAATGAATAGAGAGTTCTCTAACAGCTAGAAGACTTTTGTTAGGCCAGCAAAGGTGTTTTGAGTAGGTTAGTGATATGATTGTGGATGGGGGACCAAGTTGCCCGAGTTCGAAGCCCATTTTATCCACCTGTTGTCTTAGTTCCTTACTTGACCCTACTCTTCTTCATATCCTTTGTCTTACTAATTAGAATTACAATAGTGTATATCATAGAGGTTGGTAAATTAGGTTAATTTGTTTAAAATACTTTGTGCATCTCATCTGATTTTTACTCAATAGCTATTAGCTATTGTTATCATTATTTCCTATTGGCCAGGAGAATATAAGCATAGAACAAAACAGAGCAGAATGAATAGGGAAATTCCTAAAGCAAGAATATAAACAGCAAATTTAGTCATGATATGAGCTAACACTTCCATGCATTATTGCATTTAAATTTGTTCATTATTCATCAAAAATGTATTCACTGAGTACCTAGCACATGCTAGATTGTGAAGTAGCACTCAAAACTCAGGGAATTCACTGTAAGAAAAATAGCAAATTGCTGTACTTCACTAAGGTAGGAAGAAACTGAGAAAAGCTACACAATTAACTAGTAGGGTAAATTCACACTGTAATGTGTTATGAATATACAAGATTGTATGAAACTGATAAGGAAGGCTATTGTAGATCAAGAAGTTGAGGGTGAACACTATATATAAAACCAAACTTTAGGTAGTAAATAAATATGGAGCCATTTAGATATAGGCAAAAGCCTAAACATAGAAAAAACTCATCTGGTCTATGGCCAGTTAAATCATTGCAGCTGATAAACAGTGAACAAGGAAAGACATCTTGCTTGGCAAGACGAGCCCAAAGGCTGAACCAGGCCTCGGTTATTGAAGGCCATTTAGACCATGGTAAGAAATTTATGTTTATTCTCCTATCCGAGTACTAACCAAACCTGACCACACTTAGTTTCCAGTATTAGACACAATCAGACATGTTCAGAGTGGTATGGATATAAGTGTTCTAGTCTCAATATGAATGGATGTTTCTAACGGGTTTTAGGCAAAAGAATTAGGTATGATTTTAAAAGAGAACTCCAACAGATTTGTGGAAGAGAGACAAGAGACAGGTGAGAATGTAACGGAGGAAATCAATTGCACATGAGCTGCAGTGATCCCAGTAAAAGATGGCAGTGTCTTGAACTGCAAAGCTGATGCTTAAATGCTATTATTTTATATTGAGAAAATTGTCACTTCAAGTTACCAAGTATCATGACCAGAATAAGAGCAGCCATGACTGACAAAAGGAGCACTTAAGATAAGTCCCCATGGGTAAGTGTCCAATGTTCTCACCATACCCCAAAGGCATTTGACTTATCCAACTTGCCAGCAGCTAAGAAGTTATATACAATTTCAGGTGACTTCATATAAACAAGTGGGTTTCTGTTAGTAATATTGCTTTGTTTTAAAATATTTTCCTCTCTCTTAGCAACTAGATGACCTGCACTGGAGTTTTTGGAGAAAAACATCTAAGACTGTCTAAGACCTGCATTCCTAGTCTGTTTTCTATCACTTTCCTTACAGGAAGTGCTTTCAAAAGGAATTTAATATTTCTGTGATTTAATAATCACTGTTATCTGAAAGGCCATAAAATATACAACAAACCTAATCTGAAACATTACAAAAAATTAATTACCTGACCTTCCCAAGGGCTGTATTCTCTGAAAAGTAAAGCTTATAAGTCCAAGTACATTAATTACTGATATTATCATTACAGGAGGAAATAGCCCAAGAATAGAACACAGGTGTGGCTGAGTTAGCACTGAAGTAAGCCTGCAGTTTTGACTGCAGCATCCTAAGTCCCTCTTAGACATTTGGGTCTCAAAAGCCAAGTTGAAACAGTAAGGCAGGCCTTCTCTAAGCCTGCAAGAGTCTCCTGGATTCCAGCAAAGAGGAGGTCTTTGCCTTAATTTATTTCTTGGCTGTGGCTGAAAAAAAAATAATGTGTGTGCCTTTCCCAGATGCTCATGGACTTCACAAGCCCACATCTGTCCCCCAGCCCTAGGCTCCAGTCATGTATTCCAGATGGAGGCATGCTTGCCAAAACATCTAGACACTAGAAAGATCTTGTAATAGTGTTTACTACTCAGAAATGCTGTGACCTTTGTTAAAATGAGCTAAATCTAGCACTGTCACGTAGTGTTTTTACAGATTTCCTTTCTTTAGGAAAATCTAAGAAAAAAAGGGTACGGAGATTTCAAGGGCATTATGTATTAATGCAAAAATGCGCAGCTAAAATATAGATTTACAGCCTGTCAGGGAGAAAACCCAGACTACATTCCCAATTAACATCTACAAAGTACTAACATCCTGTGCTTAAAAAAGAAGTCACAGGCCTGCCTGTTCTGACTCCATTCTTTTTGTTTTGTTTTGTTTGTTGTTTTTCAAAAGAGAAAACTTTTATTATCAGTTGATTTGTGAAATACCAGATGCAATGAAGTTTTATTCTTTTTTGTTTGTTTTTTCGGCTTTTTAAAAATTAGGCTTTTTAAAAAATTTTACTTTAGAGGCACTCATGTTTACATATCCACCCCCCCATTCCCTCGCCCTCCTGTCCTCCCATGTTCCCTTACAACCCCTTAACCCACCCCCCAACTCCTCCACAGGGATAGTGAGGCCCTCCACAGGGGACATTCAAGTCCTTCACATTTGGGGCTGGGCCTAGGCCCTCCTTGCTGTATCAGGACAGCAATAGTATCCCTCCGTAGGGAATGGGCTCCCAAAGTCCATTTGTGCTCTAGGGATAAACACTGGCTCCACTGTTAGAGGTTTCATAGACCTCTCTGGCCTCCTAGTTGGTACCCACATTCAGAGGGCTTGCTTTGGTCCAATACTGTTTCCCAGCTTTATGATTAGGGTCTCCATGCTCTCAGTAGGTCAGTCAACTGTTTCTGCGTGTTTCCCCAGCACCTTCTTGGCTCCTTTGCTCATCCCTCCTCCCGCTCCACAACTGGATTCCAGGAGTATGGTTCAGTGCTTAGCTGTGGGTGCCTGTTTCTGCTACAAACAGCTACTAGATGAAAGCTCTAGGAATGGTAACCAAGGTAGTCATCAATCTCATTGGAGGGGAAGGGCATCCAGTCTCCATTCTTATTCTCACAACTGTGTAAAGTTTCAAGCCTTATTTGCTATGTAGATTTAACCACATCTAGTCTGCCATCTGTATACATGAAGATCTCATTTTTCTTGAAATGTTTGAATTCATCCCCTTGTATTGCTCTCATGATTCCAGTGGGCTTCCTAGAACAACCCAGAAGTAAGAAACTACTGCTTCCTCAAGGGCTTCAGTAAATGAAAATTTCCATCCCAGAGGTGTTGGGTTAGGAGTAAAGATAAGCACATGAACATCTGCTTT